ATGTATTCAAAAAGCTTTATTATTACAGAAGGATCCTGCTGAGGAAGGTACCTCTGATGGCAGAGGAGATCCTGCAGGAAGTGATTATTCAAATCAGTGCATCAATTAACATGTCTGCCTAACGAGGACTCCTGTTGCTATTGTTGACAGCAGAATTGCAGTGGGGGAGACATTTGTGCGTGCAAACTAATTGACCAAAAGCATTTAATTTAGATGCCATTAACATTAGCAACCTGCAGATTGCTAACAAGAAGAAACAAAGAAAAGATGAGTTAAATGTGAACATGGACAGGAGACATTTAACATAAACTCTATTAGCTCTGCTCCAGATCCTTTGTACTCTATGCTTTGTATCATTTCTTCTTTTCATTGTTGTCAGTGTTGTCAGACATCCAGAAAAAACATTTCAGGAGCTTTAATAAGCCTTTCTTCCATTTTGCAGTTCAGAGGATTACTGACAAATCAATTAGACCTAACCTCAAAAACTGTTTATGGCAGAAAAAAAAGACGTGAAGAGCACACATACTGTTTAATTTACCATTGCATTCCATCACTGTTTATTTGATGTGAAGCTGCTCAGCTGGCAGTACTTATGTGTAAGCATCATTTTTAAACTACTGTTTGTGTGTGTGTGTGTGTGTACTACATATGTATATACAGTTTATATCTATAGATACAGAGGAGCAATAAATTGCCTTGAGTTCAATCCATATTTTTTTTCTTTTAAATATTTTAAACATTACAGCCCCACTGCAAATAGAAAACTGAGACATACTATTGGAACCAAATCATTTTAAGATGATCTTTCATACCTTTGGACAGGGGCTGAAATGATCACCACCAAGTGGCAAATTTGAGTATAATTTAGATTTTCTGATTAAATCTAAAAGGACTATATGCCAAAAATAGTCATATAATAAAACCCTATTCTGAGAGACTGGGCTGCATTCTGATAATCCTCCGCTCTGCTTCTGTGCTCTGTCAGACACATAAACTGACACAAACACACACTCACACCCATATACTTGAAAACCTATCCTTACTCTGCCTCTGATAAACTCAAGTCTGCCATTTTTGTCCAAGCCTATCCAAACAACCATCACAACATAATTCAGTCAGGACACTTTTGTCCTTTTCATCATATTTGGAGTTATGGGTCTGCTCTGGGACCTACCTGCACATGTGGACAGCCTAAGGTAGGTAGAGAACACCTGGGTCGTATCCATTATGAAAAGGAGGTGCGTTGTGTAGTGGCAGCTAGAGTAGCTTAAGTAGAGAGCACAATATGATCTTTTCTGAATGAATGCATATTCCAGGGATCAGTTGATGTGTTCTGGCATAGAAATCTGTTGATGTCAGCTGACATGTGACTCAGATTGACTTTGTGACCTGCCTGAACTAACGTTATGCTCAGTTTGTAAAACAATAAAAAGTAGCCAGTCAGGGGCACAGTAGAGCCAAGGGGTGCAGGGGACTGTGTCTGCTGCTTGCTACCAATAGGCTCACTAAAACTGAGGAGATGAGGATTGGAGATATCAGAGTTCTACGATGCAGACTAGAGTAAAGTAAAGTTTAGACATTGATGGAAACAAAACAGTGAAATGAAGCATATTTGTATTGTGGCTTGTTATTAGTAGCTAGTAGCTCATATTAGTGTCAAAGCTTTAAATCATATATAGTCATACCTGTATATTATCTTCCATCTCCTCATCTTCTGCTGCAGTTATACACTATGTCTGAAATCTGTCAGATATATACACATCTATCCTCCATTTCCCTAAAGACTGAATCTTTTCATGTTCTCAGTAACATCATCGCCTATATCCTGCTGTTTCAGAGGCTTTTATAGACCCCTGCTGAGAGGACAAGACGAACGTTTTCTGTGAATAAAACAGAAATCTTTGGAAATATGCTGACCCTGCAAATCTCCTCTGCGAGTTGCATTATGGGACGAGAGCTGAACAGCCAAAGAGAACTAGCAAGATGTCTGAGACGGCAACTAGCACATCTCCAGCTGTCACCCCTACAACACACACCACGCAAAACACAAGGCACTACCACAGAACACAAATCTCAATTGCTTTTCCACACAGTAGGTGGAGGAGTGAGAGGCTTAAAGATAGACAAGATAAAGGCGAGGTTAGATAGATGAGAATAGGAGCTTACTCTGAGGCTGATGGCTGCTAACAAAGTTTGATTATGACTGACAAGGCGCTCTGGGTTCCTAATCGACACTTGTGACTCTAATTGACAGTGAAGGAAGGAGATGGGGGTAGAGACAATAGAGACTAGTGTTGTTTCTTGGCAGGGTTGAAAAAGTAGTGTATCACAATCCAAATCAGAAAATAAAGGGAACATTGATTAAGAAAGAAGAAACATCCACTGTGACTGAGGTGGTTAATTTCACAACATTGTCAGTTGATTTATCAGTTTTCAGACTTCCCTGCCAATATTTTCTTGAAAAGCCACCAACAACAAATCTATTGAGTTTTGGAACCACCTCAGTGTCAGTGCTTTGTCTCACACAACAATTGGCAGCAAAGTATAGCAGCTGCCGATGTGTGATACTTTGCTTTGAGAAAGCTGATAACCATTTCTGTATATACTGTATATGTAAGTACACCGTATAAATCAGAATCAGTAGTGGAGATTATTTCAAAGTAGTTAAATACATACGAGGACTTTGCTGTGGTGTGTTGGTGCTAGCATAAATATGAAAATATTTTAAAAATGTGAATCACTATAAAATATTATAACACTAGAAAAACAATATGAGAAATAGATATTTACAATTTGGAATATGTACAGCAAGACTTCTATTGGCCCTGGAAAGTTCAGGTTTTACAGTCATAGGACATTTATGCAGTGCCATGAGTGGGTCCTTGGCCTTGTTCATGAGTCCAGCAGCAATCGGGGGGGAAAACTGTTGTTGTGGCGTAAAGTTCAGTCCTGATGTCTCGCTGCCTCTGGCCAGAGGCAAGGTTTGGGTTGTGTCCAGGGTGGGAGGGGTTGGCCAAAATCCTACCTGCACGCCTCAGAGTCCTGGAGGCGTACAGGCCCTGAAGGGGAGGCAGGTTGCGAAAAGATGCGCTGCAATCTGGCCTTGTCCTTGGAGCAGCAGCGTACCACACAGTGAATGAGGTGAGGATGGACTCTGTGTGGGGGGGATGTTCAGCTCCCACTTCAGTTCCTTGGCGATGATGGTGCCCAGGAAATTGAATATCAATATGATATATAATAAAAATATATTATATATATATCAATTTATTCTAATCATGTGGCATGAACACAATAATCAGCTGGTTCCTAAAGCACTGGCTTTTTTTCTTTTGGAACCGTCAAATAATTTAACTTAACTCTTCATAGCTCTATTGCTAATTTCTAAGCGAGCATGCTAAGCAGTGCTTGTGTGGCATAATAATATTCTGGGGAAATCCGATTTCTCTTCAACTTGGTTTAAATGAAAAATAAATGAGTTTGCTTTCTTCTCACCCTATCTTAATTTCTATCTTTCTTTTCATCATGATTTTCTTGTCACTCTCGTAAGTTTTTATTTATCAGCAGAGCAAATAGTATTGATCTGATTTGAACCAAACTTAGTGGAATGATGTTGCATGGATTTATGTAGAATAGATGGATTTTAATCATTTACCTTTTTTCTTTATCTCTCAAGGCTGTTTTATGTTGTTTGACCTTGGCAGAGGTGTGTGCTCTCTTAGATCTGTCATAGTTCTTACTTCCTGGAACATGCATTCTTGTGTTGATGTTGTTAACTATGTGTAAACAGAAAATAAATGTATTTGTTACTGTTAAAAGTATAGCAATTCTAGCTTTTCGAGTAAGTACTTTCATGTTACATGGAAATTTATTGGAAAGATATTGTCTTACAATATTACAAATATATATATCAGGGTAAAAGTATAAAGAAGAAAAGAAAAAAATATATAGGGTTACATTTTAGAGATTATACAAGGATCCCTTCTGATTATTTACTGCTGGTTGTACATTTTACCTTCAAGGTCCTTGCTTACAGTGACGATGTGTTTTTTCACACCAGCCACACACTTTTGCAACTTTAGATTAAACATAAGGGAAGAATAAACAACACTGTAATATATATTTTGATATCTATTTTCCTTGTAGTACTGGCATTTGGAATTTATATAAAAGATTTTTTCAGAGAATAATTTAATGCAAAACACCAGTCTCCTACTTCACATTTATGCTGCCACCTCAGCACTAAAAAGCAATAAAAGTATATAAACTGAAGTTTGAACAGCAACATGTCTTTCTAGAAGCTGTCTCACTAATCCACACAGCATACTGTCAACAGTTTTACTATCGACTGTCCCTTCAGTAGAAAGAAGTTCCAACAAGAGTTATTGGAGCAAAGCTTGTTCTTTGGATAATCCAGTCTAAGTGGGACATTGTGCTGCAGCTAGAATTTCTTTTTTTACTTCCACCAAGGAAGTTCTGCTAAATGTTTTTCTGTCTCTCAGCAGTTACTCAAAAACTAATGAACTAGTTTTCATTAAGTGTTGTTCAGAGCCGAAAGAAAAGTCATCACATTTTGTTGCAGATCACGTTAAATGGGCAGAACTGGAAATTAATTTTTTTTTTTTACATTGTGCTCATTATGTGCTATGTGCTCTCTGAGTGGCCTTCTAGTTTTTATGTGTCTGCTGATTACAGATCTCAGCAGCCTGGATCATAGCTTTAAGACTGTGCCTAAGGAAACAATTCCCAATATCTCTTCTGATTTTGACAATACAGACAATAGGAACAGTAGAGACAAATCTTACAGTTGCTCGGGTTGAGAGTTTGAATCCCTCTGCGGACCTTCATTCACTAATGGTTCTGTTAGGACCTTTTAGATGAAAACATCCACCAGATGGTACATTTAATGTGCTGTGAGTTTTCTTCTGCTATCAATTTTATAACCACCCCCTCTGTTTCTCTTTCTCTCTCTATCTACCCCCCTCCCCCATCCACCTCCTCAGGTTCGGAGATGGTGGAGGCCCAGTGTCAGAGGTTTGAGGTGAGGAGCATAGATGGGGAGAGAGTTTTGTTCTCAGCAGATGAAGAGGAGATAAGCATCGGCACTGAGAAACTTCGAGTCACAGGTAGGGCTACGCACAAACAGTACAACACATGCTGTAGACATGTCCATTATTTGCATCACCATTATCTTCACTTATGCTCCCTAAACTGACAGGAACAGACATTTAATTATAATAAAAGCAAACCTCAAGTTGTTGGTGTCTAATTGTAATCATATCAATCATATATAACTTTAGATATATCAGAGTAAAGTTATAAATTAATGTAAACCATTCCATATACATATAATGTATAAGTGATCAGGGGTCCCAAACAGTAGATTTATTTCTATTGAGTGACAAGGTTACTTTAGGACAGTGGTTCCCAAATGGTGTGCCATGAGGCAAGTCCAGGTGTGTTGTGGGATTTTGAGAGAAATGTGCAATATTATTATTGCAATACTACTATAATACTTCAGGGTTTCAGAGTGTGAAGTAGAGCAACTCTAACAACGCTAACACTAACCAAAAAAAGAGAGAAACACAGTGGAATGGATGGATCAATGGATGATAATAAGGGTTTTGCTTGAATAAGAATTCAGGTGTACCTTGCAATTTTGGTTCGAAAACCATTGCTTGTGTGTGTGTGTGTGTGTGTGTGTGTGTGTGTGTGTGTGTGT